AGTGTCGATAAACTGGCGATTGTTATTTCTGAAGCGGCGGTTTTGGAAGATACCCTCTATGTCTGTAGGTCAAAGTTGACCAAGGAGAAGGAGGCATCCGCGCTTAAGTTAGAGGGGCTTGAGGGTCGCGTTAAGGAGTTGGAAGCAGAGCTATCCGCGTTGACCGATCAAGTGGCATCACTGAGAACAGAGGATGCGCGTCGACACTCGCAACCCTCTATGTCTCGTGCTTCGGTCGATCCTATCGTGCCTCATCGTTTATATGAGTTGTAGGTTTATGCTGAGGCCCAGCTGGATGTGTATAAGACTCTTCATGCCGATGGGAGGGCATCTAAAGTAGAACTTCAAGATAAGCGTGTCAAAGCTCGTGCAGCTCGCGAGGCATGCGGATATGATCCGCTTACGCCTGATGGAGATGATATTAACTCTGATGATGCGAACCATCTTGCCTCTGACTCTTGGTATGAAGATGTTTATGGTGCCATGGATGATGTGTAATTTTTGGGTTTGTACTTACTTTTGCTTCAGGATTTTTGTAAGGGCGTCTTTGAGCCCATTGTAAAGATAGGTGCTGGTAACATTTTGTTGTAATGAAAAAATTGTTTTGTCGATCCAGTGGCAATCTTTGTTATATTTTTGTCGATTTGAGTGATGTCGGATCCTTTCCTTTGGCGAAGGCCTTAGCCTTTGGGATGTTACCTTCGAGCCGATATCGAAGTAATATCTCGTCGTAGTTCGAGTGAAGTCGAACTTGTATCTTTGTCGATGGCCTTAGCCATTGGGATGTTACTTTCGAGCTGGTGTTGAAGTAATTTCCCGTCGTAGTTCGAGTGAAGTTGAACTCATATTTTCGTCAATGGCCTTGGCCATTGGGATGTTACTTTCAAGCTGGCGTCGAAGTAGTATCCCGTCGCAGTTCGAGTGAAGTCAAACTTGTACTTTTGTCGATGGCCTTAGCCATTGGGATGTTACTTTTAAGCTAGCGTCGAAGTAGTATCCCGTTGCAGTTCGAGTGAAGTCGAACTTGTACTTTTATCGATGGCCTTAGCCATTGGGATGTTACTTTCGAGCTGGCGTCGAAGTAGTATCATGTCGCAGTTCGAGTGAAGTCGAACTTGTACTTTTGTCGATGGCCTTAGCCATTGGGATGTTACTTTTAAGCTAGCGTCGAAGTAGTATCCCGTTGCAGTTCGAGTGAAGTCGAACTTGTACTTTTGTCGATGGCCTTAGCCATTGGGATGTTACTTTCGAGCTGGCGTTGAAGTAGTATCCCGTCGCAGTTCGAGTGAAGTCGAACTTATACTTATGTCGATGGACTTAGCCATTGGGATGTTATTTTCGAGCTGTTATCGAAGTAGTATCTCGTCGCAGTTCGAGTGAAGTCGAACTTGTACTTTTGTCGATGGCCTTAGTCATTGGAATGTTACTTTTGAGCTGGCGTCGAGGTAGTATCCTATCGCAGTTCAAGTGAAGTCGAACTTGTACTTTTGTTGATGGCCTTAGCCATTGGAATGTTACTTTTGAGCTGACGTCGAAGTAGTGTCCCATCGCAATTCGAGTGAAGTCGAACTTGTACTTTTGTCGATGGCCTTAGCCATTAGGATGTTACTTTCGAGCTGGCGTCGAAGCAGTATCCTGTGGCAGTTCGAGTGAAGTCGAACTTGTACTTTTGTCGATGGACTTAGCCATTGGGATGTTACTTTAGGGCTGGCATCGAAGTAGTATCCCGTCGCAGTTCGAGTGAAGTCGAACTTATGCTTTTGTCGATGGCCTTGGCCATTGGGAGTTTCATTCATACATTGGAGATTTGATTATATTCCTGTAGGAAATACATGTTGACTTTGTACATATAATGGAGATTTGGCTATCTACACCTAGTCCCTTCATTACTCAGCCTAAAGATCATGTCGACGGGCGTGGTAATGAACAATACTTCGGACCTCGAGACGTCTTCCTTATCGCTTAATTAAAAACCTCACCGAGAAAACTCGATTGGGACAAAACCCGGATGAGGGAAAAAGTGTACGACTTAGGTGGCGCCTCTTTTCAGAAGTGGAAGTATTTGAGATGGGCGACATTCCAATTGTATTGGAGTAGTTTTCCTTCCATTGTCTCTAACTGGAATGCTCTTTTGTTTGCTGTCGCCATGATTTTGTATGGCTCGTCCATATTTGTTCCCAATTTTCCCTCATTAAGGTCCTTCGCTGCTTGTGTTTTAGCTTTGAGAACATAGTCTCCGACCTTGAGGGGTCGTACTTTGGACTTCTTGTTATAGTACCTTTTTGCTTGTTGCTTTTTGGGCTACCATTCTTACGTGGGCCATATCTCTTCTTTCTTCGACTTTATCCAGGTCTTGTAGCCTGCTTTCGTCGTTACTTGGTCCGTTTTTATTGGAGTACCTCAGGCTAGGTTCTCCGATTTTGATGGGTATAACCTCGTCAGTCCCGTAGACTAGTGAATATGGCGTCTCGCCTATGCTAGTTTTTGGCATGGTGCGGTATGCCCATAGTACTTCTGGCAGCAGTTCAGGCCGTAGCCCCTTGGCGTCCTCTACCTTCTTTTTCAATATATTCAATATCGTCTTATTTGAGGATTCGGCTTGGCCGTTGCCGGCGGGATGGTATGGTGTGGAGAGTATTCGCTTGATGTGCCATTTTTCAAAAAAACTCGATTATCTTCTTTCCAACGAACTGAGGTCCGTTGTCACAGTTGATTTCTTTAGGAATGCCGAAGCGGCATATTATATTTTCCATATGAACGCGATAACTTCTTGCTCACGTATTTGTGTATATGCACCTGCTTCCACCCATTTAGAAAAATAGTCAGTTAAAACCAAGCGGAAGCGTACCTTACCTCGTCCTGTTGGCAGGGGTCCGACGATATCTATTCCCCACTTTATGAATGGCCATGGCGAAGTGACGGAATGTAGTAGTTCTCCTGCTTGGTGTATCATAGGGGCGTATTTTTGGCACTGTTCACATTTCTTGACGTAATCTGCAGCTTCTTTTTTCATGGTAGGCCAGTAGTATCCTGCGCGGATGAGGCATCTGATGAGGGCACAATTTCCCATATGGGCGTTGCAGTTCCCCTCGTGTACTTCTTCTAGTACCCGCCTTGTTTGATTTGGCCCAAGACATTTGGCCAGGGCGCCGCCGAACGTCCTTTTGTAAAGATCATCATTTACTAGGTTGTATCTGGCCACCAGTATTCGGAGCTTTTTGGCTTCTTTATTATCTTGTAGGAGCATCCCTTCCTGCAAATATGCTACGATACGGTTGTGCCAGTCCCAAGTTAGGTTTATAGAATGTACCCCGACCTGGTCTATTGAGGAATGGAGAAGGGTGACCACGTTTTCCTTATTGATATTTCTGGTGGCTGTTGCTAGCTTGGCGAGACCGTCCGCTTCGATATTCTGCGCCCTAGGTATCTGGTCGAGACGGCATTCGTCGAATTCCAGTAGCAGTTTGTGGATTTCTGACTGGTACTTTTGTAGTCTCTGTTCTTTGATTTGGAAAGTCCTAGTGACTTGGTTCACCACGAGTTGAGAGTCGCAATGGAGGGTGAGTCATCGAGCGCCATATTTGAGGGCTAATTTCAATCCTGCAATCACAGCTTCATACTCGGCCTCGTTGTTAGTCATCTCGGGGCACCGTATGGACTAGGGAATTACTTCGCCCGTAAGACTTCGAGGACGAGTCCCAGTCCCGATCCCGATGCATTAGATGTGTCGTCGGTGTAGAGGACCCAGAGGTCGGAATGTGCGAAAGCGCAGAGCGCCTCCTGCTCTACTTCAGGCAATACTTCTACGCTGAAATCGGCGACAAAGTCGGCGAGCACTTGCGACTTTATAGCAGTTCGCGGTTGATATGTTATGTCATGCTCGCTTAATTCTATGGACCATTTGGCCAACCTACTTGATAGTTTGGGTTTGTATAGGATTCCCCTGAGGGGGGAGGTCGTCACCACCTTTATGGGATGGCATTGAAAAAATGGTCTAAGCTTTCATGAAGCTACGACTAATGCCAGAGCTAGTTTCTCAAGGTGGGGGTACCTTGTTTCGACATCAATTAAGGTTTTGCTGATATAATAAATTGGATATTGCGTACCTTTGTTTTCACGGACCGAAACTGCACTTACCATGACTTCATAGACTGCTAGGTACACTAGGAAGCATTCGCCCGGGTCTTCCTTGACGAGCAGCGGCGGCAAGGACAGGTATGCTTTTAGTTTTCTTAAGGCGTCAATGCATTCTGAATTCCACTGTATCCCGTGATCCTTCCTTAGTACAAATGAAAAATTTATGGCATCTATCTGATGATCACGAGATGAAACTCGACAGGGCGGCTATTCGCCCTGTCAATTTCTGTACCTGCTTTTTGCTGGTTAATGTCTTCGGTATTCCTTCGATAGCCTTGATCTGATCCGGGTTGACCTCGATACCCCTTTGTGACACCAAAAAACCGAGGAACTTGCCTGAGATTACGCCAAAGGTGCACTTATCGGGATTCAGTTTCATCCCGTATCGTCTTAATATTTCGAAGGCTTCCTTCAGATGACCAATGTGGTCCTCTTTCCTTTTCGACTTTACTAGCATGTCATCGATGTAGACCTTCATAGTCTTGCCAAGTTTTTCTTTGAACATTTTGGTGACTAGCCTTTGATAATTCGCCCCCGTGTTCTTAAGTCCGAATGGCATGACTCTATAGCAGTACGTTCCTTGGTGAGTGATGAAAGTGGTCTTTTCTTGATCTTCTTCTGACATTAAAATTTGGTTGTAACCAGAATAGGCGTCTAAGAAGCTTAATAGTTCGTGCCCCGCTGTTGCATCGATGAGCTGGTCGATATATGGTAACGAAAAGGAATCCTTTGGGCATGCTTTGTTCAGTTCGGTAAAATCAACACACATCCCCCACTTTCTGTTCTTCTTTTTTACCATGACCACATTGGCAACCCACTAAGGATACTTTGATTCTCGGATGGAACCATTAGCGAGCAACTTATCAACTTCTTTGCTGACTGCCTCGTTGATTGCGGCATTGAACCTTCTCCTCATTTGTCGTACTAGCGGGTAAAGAGGGTCGACATTCAGCCTGTGTATGGCGATATCCCTTGGGATTCCCGGCATATCTGAATGGGAAAAACAAACAAATCGGCATTGTTAGTTAAGAACTCACAGAACTTACCTGGTTCTGAGAGGTTGTGTCACGACCCATTTTCTGAACAAACCGGGACCGACACTCGATCACTAAACATGACAGAGTGAACCATCTCTGCTTATAAAATCTATTATAACTCCAAACCTTATATGCAACAAGGCAATGCTCTAACCAAATACTTTTGATTAATTTTAAATATTTAAATAAATCAACTCCAAAACTTTATTCGTAGTAACTACTGAATTGCTAAGTTATTATCAAAAACATCTGAATCTTAACCCAAAGACTATGTCTATGAAACCTCTACTGATAAACTGACGCACTGCTCAGGACATGAGATTTTCTGGCCAGTTCTCTAAGTAAACAAAGAAATAACTAAATAAAGATGACTCTAAGTAATACACCACGAATAAAAGCGGAGCTCACCACTAGCACTGGAAGAGAAGGAAGTCCTAACCCGTAGCCTGCTCGCCTGCAAAACCGGTTCCTACGTTGTACCGCAGACCAATGTAGGTTCCCAAAAGAGAACATTTGTACCATCCATTGTACTCAGAGAGTCTCAACAACAAGGGCGAAACTTTAATAACATATACGTTAAGAGAAAAGGTTCTAAATGCATTTAAAACATAGAGCTTATAAGAATAATTCTAAATAATTGCATAATAGCAGTTTATGAATATTCTAAAAGAAATACTTTTCTTTTTCTTTCCTATAAAAAAATAGTTCACTTTATACATTGGGAGTTCCAACTATCCTGACTTAATTCTGTTTCAGTCACTGTGTGATCGGGACGGGTTCGATCCCAACCTGATCAAATAAGCCCAATCCATGAGGTGCCACTCGCTTCATGTTTCTCAGCGCTCATGTATCATACCTTAGCATGGCTAAGTAAATCCTCAGTAACGAGACCCTCGGCTCATGTGCTCCTTACTTTGGCACAAGTAGTTTCAGGAAGTCAATGCCATGTCAGGACCCTCGGCCTGGACGATGACCCCTTCTCAGAATAGAGGATACTTTCAAAAATCTTTTCTTTCTAAAACTTCTTCTTGTGACTTTTCAAGTCTAAATCTTTCATATATACTTACTCTAGAATCATTGTCCAAAGTCTAAACCACATAGCAGTGCATATATAGTAGCGTCTTCAACTAGAGATAATAATTACTGTCCAACTCTAGCATAAGTCTTTTTTTTCATATAGACACCAATGTAGCTTTCTCGAAGACAATAATCATGCACAATCCCTTTCCTAAAGAAGGGACATCAGAAAACCTAATAATACAAAATGCCAAAGACCTATAAAATAAAGCTAATGAACAAGTAAGTAATCAAATAGGCACGTAATTCCAAATGTAAGATCCTTATAGATAAATTCTCACTCCTAAATCATGTTCAATCTGTACGCTCACACAAGGATAGTTTTTTTTTGAGCAAATAGGAAATATATATATATATTAAAGGTTAAGGAACATGCAGTACATGAGATTCATAGTTAGTGTCACATAGGACACTTTGGTTACCTAGGCTTGCTAAATTTATACAAGCATCATACGATAGTAGTTTTCCAAAAACATATTGTTCTAAGGAGACAGATAACCGACATGCCTTGTGTAGATAAAACCAACAATGTAGAAACAATTCTCTTACATGCATGGTATGGGTTTTCCCACTGCTCGTAACCCCATATGCAAAGATCGTGCTATATCAAAATAATCATCTAAACTTTAGCTAGAAAATAATTCTAAGCTAATAGGTACTTACTACTCCAATTAAGTATATATTAACTCTTTTATGCAATTCATCAAACACCTTGTATGCGTGCTTTTGTGAGTTAAACCACTTTAATAAAGGATTATATCAACTTACCTCAATACTCCTTGAGCCAATACATAGACCCTAGACCAATTTATGCCCGTCAAACAATTGATTCTACAACAACCAGTGCATTTTATTTGATTTCAAAGTTTCACACCTAAACATGAAATTTGATGTTGATACAGAGAAAGAAAGGAATTAACTATTCAATTCTTACCTATTACTACTATGGGGTAATTGACAGTAGGGAATTTCACATACTTGAGTTCAGGAATTAGCGATTGGTAAGAACCCTAGAATTTTCCGTTGCTTGCGTGAGTATTTTCGCTGGGACGTGTGTCTGTTTCTTATATGCAGAAGTCTGCTTGGAGTTTCTTTTTCGTTCGAAGGCTTAAGGCTTTAAGCCTGCTTACGCTTTTCAACGGATTTTATGGGCTTAAGGGCTTTGGTTATTTTGTCCCCCCCCTCCCCGTTTTTTTTATAACTTAACTAAAAATTAATGATACCCACTTTTAATAATTAATAATATTAAAATTATTAATATTCCCTAATTGTATAGCCACTTATTTATAAATATAGATGTAACTCAAAATCACTCACAAGGGTTTAAATCCGTAATAGAAGTATAATTTAAGGTGGAAAAAATTAAATTCTATATTTAGCGAGTCTTGAAATTTATATAAATTTGAGGAGTGTTACAATCTTCCCTCCTTAAAAACATTCGTCATCGAATGTTGCTAGGGCCTTATTCTTAAGCTAACAATCATTTCTTAGGTCCTTGAGCCTCTTAAGTTTTCTTAGCACTACTCACTCTTCCATGGGACTCAAAATTTTGGCTAACTCCCTTAATTTTCAAAAATTTCGGCAGAGTTTCTCTTGTAAATTGGACTATCTAAAAAAGTATCCCTATCACAAATACTACAACTACACCAACAACAACCAAATATACCATAACAGGCCATTCATAGGCACCATACATAGCTCATAAATTAATTACTCACACTACGGCAAGGAGGTACCACAATAACTAACAAGAATCTAAAGCACAATAACTTTAGCATAAGTACATCACTTTAATGAATTAAATATACTACGGAACAACTAAATTACTACAACAACTAAGTTTAATCTAGGAAGGACATAAACACTTGCTAACTTGTATTTAATAAATGAAATATAAATGTCAAACCAACTTAGGTTCACATACCTTTTTCCTCAAATAAATATGGATATTTCTTTCTCATATCTTCCTCGACCTCCCACGTAGCCTCTTTTGAATCATGATTACTCCACAAAACTTTTACCAATGCTATATCCTTTGTTCTCAACTTTCTTACTTGCCTATCGAGAATTTCTAAAGGTACCTTTTCATAAGTCAAGCCTTATTTAATTTCTATGGTATCAGCAGCTATTAAATGCGACTCATCATGAATGTACTTTCTAAGCATAGACACATGAAAGACAGGATGCACATAGGACAACTCAACGGGCAACGCTAGCTCGTAAGCCACATTTCCCTTCTTTTCTATAATCTCATAAGGTCCAATAAATTTAGGACTAAGTTTCCCCTTCTTACCGAATCTCATAACTCCTTTCATTGGTGAAACTTTCAAAAATACCTTGTCACCAACCATGAACTCTAAGTCACGATGCCTCTTGTCAGAATTGGACTTTTGACGACTCTGAGCCGCTTTCAATCTTTCTCTGATTAGCTGGACTTTTTTTAAGGCATCACAAACAAACTCTAGACCAATCAACGACACCTCTGCTGGTTCAAACCAACCTACTGGAGACCTACATCTTCGCCCATACAACGCTTCATAAGGAGCCACACTGATGCTAGCCTGATAGTTGTTATTGTAAGCAAATTCTATAAGTGGAAAGTGATCATCCCAACTACCTCCAAAATCTATAACACACGTACGCAGCATATCTTCGAGAGTCTGAATGGTCCTTTCTGCCTGACCATCGGTCTGTGGATGGAAAGCGGTGCACAAATTGACCTTGGTACCTAATCTTTTCTGAAATGCTCGCCAAAAATACGATGTGAACTGAGGGCCTCTGTCAGATATGATTGAAACTGGAGTACCATATAATCGGACTATTTCTTTGATGTACAAATGCTCATACTGCTCTGCAGAATCTGTCATCTTTACTGGTAGGAAATGTGCGAACTTTGTTAGTCGGTCTACAATAACCCAAATTAAATCATACTTACAGTATGTGCGAGGTAGACCTACTATGAAATCCATATTAATCATCTCCCATTTCCACTGTGGTATCTCTATATCTTGAGCTAGGCCACCGGGCCTCTGATGCTCGGCTTTGACTTGCTGGCAATTCAAACATTTAGCCACATGATCTGCTATTTGCTTCTTCATACCTTTCCATCAATACAACTCTTTCAAATCTAGATACATTTTGGTAGCACCTGGGTGGATAGAGTACCTCGAACTATGAGCTTCCTCCATTATGGCCTTCATAAGACCATCTACATCAGGCACACATAACCGATCATTTAACTTCAAAACTCCGTCACTTCCTAGAGTGAAAGCAGTGATTTCTTTGTTTCTGACTCCTTCTTTTAACTTCACTAAGTACGGATCTTCGTATTGCTTAGCCTTAACATACGCAAAAAGGGAGGATTGCGCTAAGTCATAAGCAGTTATACCTTCTTCTTCGGTCTCATCCAATCTAATTCCATCATTTGCTAGTTTTTGAATTTCTCAGCCCAAAGATTGCCTTTGTACTGCAAGATGGGCCAAGACACCCATTGACTTCCTACTAAGTGCATTTGCTACCACATTAGCTTTGCCCGGGTGATAAAGGATGTTGATGTCATAATCTTTCAATATCTCGAGCCACCTTCGCTGTCTCAAATTTAATTCTTTTTGCTTGAAAATATATTGGAGGCTCTTGTGATCTGTAAACACTTCAGAATGCTCACCATAAAGGTAGTGTCGCCATATCTTTAATGCAAACACCACTGCTGCAAGTTCCAAGTCATGTGTGAGATAGTTCTTTTCATAATTCTTCAACTGCCTGGAAGCATAAGCAATAACTTTTCTATTTTGCATAAGAACACAACTAAGACCAACTCTGGAAGCATCACAATACACTGTGAAACCACCCGAACCTGTCGGCAAGGTTAATACAGGTGCAGTGGTCAACCTCTTCTTTAACTCTTGAAAACTCTGCTCATAAGCATCTGACCACTGGAACTTAACTGCTTTCTGGGTCAACTTAATTAATGGAGCTGCAAGTGAAGAAACCCCCTCTACAAACCTTCTATAGTAGCCAGCTTACCCCAAGAAACTTCTGATTTTGGTTGGCGTTGTCGGCCTTGGCCAATTTTTGACTACTTCTGTCTTTTGAGGGTCTACTTTTATGCCTTCACTAGATACCACGTGGCCGAAGAATGCCACTGACTGCAACCAGAACTCACATTTTGAAAACTTGGCATAAAGCTCATTCTCCTTCAAGGTCTACAAGGCTATTCTGAGGTGTTTTGCATGATCTTCCTTGCTCTTAGAGTATACCAAAATATCATCTATAAACACGATAATAAAGGTATCAAGGAATGGCTTGAAAACTCTGTTCATGAGGCCCATGAATGCAGCTGGAGCATTTGTCAACCCGAAGGACATCACTAGGAATTCCTAGTGCCTGTAGCGAGTTTTAAAGGTTGTTTTACATATATACTCTTCTCTAATTCTCAACTGATGGTACCCCGACCTCAAGTCTATTTTTGAAAAGTATTTTGCACCCTGAAGTTGATCAAATAAATCATCAATTCTTGGCAGTGAGTACTTGTTCTTAATGGTAACTTTATTCATCTGCCGATAGTCGACGCACATTCTAAGAGACCCATCTTTCTTCTTGACAAACAGGACCGGGGCACCCTATGGTGAAACACTCGACCTGATGAAGCCCTTGTCAAGAAAGTTTTTCAACTGTTCTATCAACTCATTAGATTCTGCTGGAGCCATCCTATAATGAGGTATAGATATGGGCTGAGTGCCTGGTATGAGATCAATGCCAAAGTCTATAATTCTTTCAGGAGGAAGTCCGGGAAGGTTATCTGGGAAAACTTCTAGAAATTTTCTAACAACTGGCACAGACTGAAGAGCTGGTGGTTCTGATTCTGGATTAATGATGTGAGCCAAATAGGCGAGACACCCTTTACTGACCATTCGATGTGCCTTAAGGTAAGAAATAAACTTACCTACAAGCGATGCTGAACTATCCTTCCACTCTAAGACTTCTTCATTTGGAAATTGGAACCTGACTATCTTGGCATGACAATCTAACATGGCATAACGAGAAGATAACCCATCCATACATATGATCACATCGAAATCCACCATTTCTAACTCTATGAGATCAGTTTTGGTGTTGCGACCTTGGACTGAAACTATACAACCTCTATAGACTCTTGTGACTTTCACTGACTCGCCAACTAGAGTAGATACTAGGAATGGCTCACTAAGTTGTTCCGGTTCTAGCTCGAGGTTAATTGCAAAATATGGAGTCACATATGAAAACGTTGAACCTGGATCCATTATAGCATAAGCATTATGTGAGAAGATTAGAAGTATACCTATAATAACTTCTGCAGATGCCTCTGCACTCTGACAATCAAGTGTGGCAAACAAACGGGGTTGTCCCCCTCCTTGAGTAACTCAATCTGCACCTCTGCTTGTCCCATGCCCTGTCTGATTATGAGAACCACGAGCCTGAGGTGGTGCAACTACAGTAGCTGAGGAACTAGAAGGACGAGTTGATCCCCCACTGAAATTACGTCTCAAATTTGGGCAGTTGGCCTTTATATGACCAATGTCTCTGCAATGATAGCAACCATGAAACCCGAGCTTGCACTGACCTGAATGTTTCCGTTTACATGTTCCACAAAGACCTTGTTGGTATGAATGTCACTCAGCATGACTCTGGCTATGTGAGGATGATGTCCTAAAATTCTGATTCTGGTGAGACTAATTTCCATAACTTTGAGTACGTTTGAAGGAAGACCCACCACCTGACTAATGACTTGACTGAACTGGTGCTAATGACTCCTTATTAGAGGAATCCCTTCCACCTCCGCTGGATGCACCATTAAACCTGCCCGATGTCCAGGCTTTCTTGTTATGCTCTTTTTCTTCTCTCATTTGTTGTCTGTCTTTTTCTAAGTGCTTGGCAAATCCCACAACAGAGGAGAAGGCTATCATCCCTATCGCTGCAGCTGATGTCGTATCCTTAATATGGTAAGCTAAACCGCCAACAAACCTGCGAATCTTTGTTTTTTCTGTCTTAACCATGTGAGGAGCATGCTTAGCTAACCTTATGAATTCAATGTAGTACTTTTGCATGCTTTTATTCCCTTGCTTGAGTTGTTCGAACTCTGTAGCCTTAGCTTCCCTATCCTCTTCTGGGATAAAGTTAGCCATGAAGGCCTCTTCAAATTCTTCCCAAGTAGGCGGACTATCATCTTCATCTCTTTCCTTTTCCCACATCTCAAACCAAGCGCCGGCCACATCTCTAAGCTGGTAAGCAGTCAGCTCCACAACTTCATCATCAAATGCTTTCATCACTCGGAGGGCTTTCTTGACACCCTCCAGTCACAACATTAGCTCTTCATCAACTATAGAACCATGGAACACTGGCGGACTCAACTTCAAAAATTCATTCATTCTTGAGGACTCAGAATTGTTCTGTATATTTGATTGAGGTGGAATCTCATCTCTTCTCTCGTTCTGGTTGGCCATAAAGGCTTTAAACATCTCCATAGCACTGTTGACAACATTAAACATTTGACCCACCTCGGGAGATATAGTTTCCTAAGACGGAGCTGTTGGGGGCGGTACTGGATCCTGAGGTACTGGATCATTATGCTCCACCCCTTCTTCATGATCAACCCGGGGTACTTGAACCCCCTTTGTGGATTTACCCTTCCTTTTCTGAGTTGAAGCCTTTTTAGTTCTGCCTTGAGCCACAATAGTAGCAATAGTTTCTTGAGCAGCATCCTGAGTGTCGGTGTCAGGGTTGCGAGTATGAGCCATCTCTGCGAGGTTTAAAGAAACGAATACATTAGATAGTTTCTTAGAGGTAGGATCTACTGCACGATCTAATGTATGAAAAAAAATGAGACTTTTTCCTAAATGCGTGTAGCCTCCTGTTTATAAGTATGACGCACTTCATACACATAAACAAGACACTCCTAACACGGCTTCATAGACCCCTAGGACTCCATAAACCTGAGGCTCTGATACCAAGTTTGTCACGACCCATTTTCTGAACAAGCCGAGATCGGCACTCGATCACTAAACATGACCGAGCGAACCATCTCTACTTATCAAATCTATTATAACTCAAAACCTTATATGCAACAGAGCAATGCTCTAACCAAATACTTTTGATTAATTTAAATATTTAAATAAATCAACTCCAAAACTTTATTTGTAGTAACTACTGAATTACTGCTAAGTTATTATCAAAAACATTTTAATCTTAACCCAACGACTATGTCTATAAAGCATTTATTGATAAACTGACGCACTGCTCAGGACATGAGATTTCCTGGTCAGTTCTCTAAGTAAACAAAGAAATAATTAAATAAAGATGACTCTAAGGAATACTTCACGAACAAAAGTAGAGCTCACCACTAGCACTGGAAGAGAAGGAAGTTCGAACCCGTAGCCTGCTCGGCTGCAAAATCGGTTCCTACATTGTACCACAGACCAACGTAGGTTCCCAAAAGAGAATGCTAGTACCATCCATTATACTCAGTGAGTCTAAACAACAGGGGCGAAACTTTAATAACATATACGTTAAGAGAAAAGGTTCTAAATGCATGTAAACATAAAGCTTATAAGAATAATTCTAAATAATTGCATAATAGCAGTTTATGAATATTCTAAAAGAAATTCTTTTCTTTCTTATAAAAAAATACTTCACTTTATACTTTGGGAGTTCCAACTATCCTGACTTAATTCTGTTTCAGTCATCGTGTGATCGGCACGGGTTCGATCCCAACCTGATCGAATAGGCCCAATCCACGAGGTGCCACTCGCTTTATGGTTCTCAGCGCTCATGTATCATACCTTAGCATGGCTAAGTAAATCCTCAGCAATGAGACCCTCGGCTTATGTGCTTCCTACTTTGGCACAAGTAGTTTCAGGAAGTCAACGCCTTGTCAGGAGCCTCGGCCTGGACGATGATCCCTTCTCAGAATAGAGGATACTCCCAAAAAAATTTCTTTCTAAAACTTCTTCTTGTGACTTTTCAAGTCTAAATCTTTCATATATACTTATTCTGGAATCCTAGTCCAAAGTCTAAACCATATAACAATGTATATATAGTAGCGTCTTTAACTAGAGATAATAATTACTGTCCAACTCTAGCATAAGTCTTTTTTTTCATATAGACACCAATGTAGCTTTCTCAAAGATAGAAATCATGCACAATCCCTTTCCTGAAGAAGGGACATCAAAAAACCTAATAATACAAAATGCCAAAGATCTATAAAATAAAGCTAATAAAGAAGTAAGTAATCAAAGACGCATGTCATTATTCCAAATGTAAGATCTTTATAGATAAATTCTCACTCCTAAATCATGTTCAATCTGTATGCTCATACAAGGATAGTTCAATTACAAAGATACATGCTGGAAAAGGGAAAAGACATGCCTTGTGTAGATAAAACCAACAATGTAGAAACAATTCTCTTACATGCATGGTATGGGTTTTCCCACTGCTCGTAACCCCATATGCAAAGATCGTGCTATATCAAAATAATCATCTAAACTTTAGCTAGAAAATAATTCTAAGCTAATAGGTACTTACTACTCCAATTAAGTATATATTAACTCTTTTATGCAATTCATCAAACACCTTGTATGCGTGCTTTTATGAGTTAAACCACTTTAGTAAAGGGTTATATCAACTCACCTCAATACTCCTTGAGCCAAAACGTAGACCCCTGACCAATTTATACCCGTCAAACAATTGATTCTACAACAACTAGTGTGTTTTATTTGATTTCAAAGTTTCACACCTAAACATGAAATTTGATGTTGATACAGAGAAAGAAAGGAATTAACTATTCAATTCTTACCTATTACTACTATGGGGTAATTGACAGTAGGGAATTTCACATACATGAGTTCAAGAATTTGTGATTAGTAAGAACCCTAGAATTTTCTGTTGCTTGCGTGAGTATTTTCACTGGGACGTGCGTCTGTTTCTTATACGCAAAAATCTGCTTGGAGTTTCTTTTTCGTTCGAAGGAGTAAGGCTTTAAGCCTGCTTACGCTTTTCAACAGCTTTTATGGGCTTAAGGGCTTTGGTTATTTTGTCCCCCTTTTTTTTGGTTTTTATTTTTATTTTTTATTTATTTATAACTTAACTAATAATTAATGATACCCACTTTTAATAATTAATAATATTAAAATTATTAATATTCCCTAATTGTATAGCCACTTATTTATAAATATATATATGTAAGTCAAAATCACTCACAAGGGTTTAAATCCGTAATAGAAGTATAATTTATGGGGGAAAAAATTAAATTCTATATTTAGCAAGTCTTGAAATTTATATAAATTTGAGGAGTGTTACAGGTTGTGTCCGATATAAGTTTTTTTCGTGCTGTCTGTGTTGTCTAATTGAACGGGGTCGAGGTCTTCTACGGTTTCCTTGCAGGCTTCTACGACATCCGGGTCTTTGATCGCCCGGGTTTGGTTCCCGATATGGCTGATTGCTATACTTCCGCACTTGTCCCCTTTAGTTGTTGGGTGTGTGTGCAGTTTTGGGCGATTCGGTAGCATTCATGGCCGGTGTGTTGTTCGCCCCGGATGCTGAATATTCCCCATGGGGTAGAAAATTTGATTACTTGATAGAAACTTGACGGGACGGCTCGTATGGCGTGTATCCATGGACGCCCTATGATAGCGTTGTAGGCTGCTTCCTGGTTCATGACGTGAAACGTCATTTCCAAAGTGACTCCTCCTTCCAGAACGGGTAGCACTATCTCCCTAGAGGTGCATTCCACTGCATTATTAAAACCCGTTAGTGTTATCCAACGCGGTACTATCTTATCCTCAAGCCTCATCTGTACGAGGTCTCGGGGATGAATAATACATGTGCCACTTCCGTCATCTACCATTATTCTTTTTACATCGGTATCCACAATATGTAAAGTTATAACCAAAGCATCATAGTGAGGGAAAGACAAACCGTTGGTATCTGACTTATCGAAGATGATACTATCTTCGAGGTCGTCATACCATTCGTGAGAGACAGTCCACTTGAGTTTGTGTGTGGTGGTGAATTTCACATGGTTTATTACTGTATCATCGCCGCTGCCAATGATCATTTGTATGGTACGAGCTGGTGAAGGTGGTTTTGGTGGTCCTTGAGGTTGATCGCGTCCACGAGTGAAGTTAACCCGTCCTTGATCGCTCAGCAGTTCTTTCAGGTGTCCCTAGTTTAGCATTCTTACCGCTTCCTGTCGCAGACTTATGCAGTCTTCAGTCTTGTGTCCCCTTTCCTGGTAGAATTCACACAGAATGTTAGATCTCCGGGTTCTCGAATCTAACTTCATTTTTTGTGGCCACTGCACCTTTGTGCCGAGCTTTTCTAGTGCATACACTATTTTTGAAGGAGAAACGCAAAAGTTATGAGTAGATAATAGTGGAGGCATACCTCTTTCGTTTTAATGTGGCACGGTGTGTCGAGGAGTGACATCTGTATGTTGTGGAGGAGGTGGGATGGACGTCCGGATGTAGGGCTGATGCCTTTCTCGATTGAAATGGGATAGTTGATCCCTTTGACCATCGTTGCGGCGATCTCTCCTTGTTTCGGTCTGGACCGATGTTAGCCATTGGATCGGACCATTTAGGTCGTCCTCGTCTGCCCTTATTTCGGCATAGTAGGCATTATGGATTTCTTCCCACGTGGTGGGAGGATACTTCATAAGTCTACTCAGCAGCTTTTTGGTTGTTTTCGACCCGTTTCTATTTAACCCATTTTGGAAGGCTGCTACTGCCATCCCTTTGATACATTAGGTAGGCTCATTCTTACCCTATTGAATCACGCTAGGAAATCCCGAAGTCCTTCGTATGTGGTCTGCCTAACGGTGAAGATGTCATTTACCCTAGCTTCTGCTTTTTTCGCTCTCGCGTGAGCAGTGACGAATTTATCCGCCATTTCTTCGAACGTTAATATGGGTCGTGCTGGTAGTTGGGAATACCACGTTAGCGCTACCCCTGTCAGGGTTTCGCCGAACTTTTTCAGCAGTACCGATGACACCTATTCTTTTGACAGATCATTGCCTTTAACTGCCGTGACGTAGTGGATTATGTGATCTTCCGGGTCTGTGGTGCCATCATATATTTTCAAGATGGCGACATTTTGAAGTTTTTTGGAATAGAGTGGGGAGTTGCCCCTTCACTGTATGGTTGCTCAACGAATCAGCCTACGTCACATTTTGGCAGCAACTTCGGAGCGCCCGATATTTTACCGACCCTTTCTTGATGCTCCTTCATTTGATCACGGAGTGTTTTGTTCTCGTTTTCCATTTCTTCCATTTTCTTTAAGATGGTTGCAAGTGCATCGTTGCTTGCATCAATGACAGTATGAGTGCTACCTGTGCGTGGAGTTTCTGGCTCATCAGTGGCAATTGCGGTTTCTGCGTATATTGTGCCTCCGATATCCCTTTGAACGAGTTTGTCGAGTATGTTGTTCAAGGTATTTGTCAACCACTCTTCTAATAGCCTTTTCACAGCCGGTGGTGCTTCTCCTGCTGCAGATGTTGAGATTTCCCTCTCGCGCGAGACAGTTA